GACATATATATATTATATATATATATATAATATATATATATATATAATATATATATAAATATATTCGTTAATAATACTTAATATTCTGTATACCATCTGATTGATATATATACAAACGTTATTGTGACCACCTTTCATGATACAGTTACACATCGCCGGTGTTCAGACAGTTTAATTGAGAACACCATAGTTGCCAGTCTCCGGACAAACATATTCGATTGGTCAATTTTTGTTCTCTAGCTGAGCCGGAAATGTGATTGGCTAAATAATGAGATGAATAATGTTACCTTCTCTCTGATTGGCCAAACGAAAAGCATTAGTAGCATCTATCGAGAATTAAGTGATTACATCAAAATTTCAAATAACTGCGCATGAACACCTTTTATTTATATATACAAGAGTTCTTACATTCTTGTGCAGCCACTAGTACGCGTTCGTGAATCGTGCGTACGTGTCTTCTCACAGAATACTTAATCTTCGTAAGAACATAGCGAAGTTACACACAGAAATCACAATAGCGTGATACATCAAATGATCAAATTTGATTCAGTCGATTAAGGAATGCTCTCGGACGTAGGTAGGTTCGAATCCTCGTCACGGCCCTTGTGGATTTGTTCAACATAGCGAAGACCTGACGATCGGTGAATCTCGGTCCTGGACCCTGATGTGTCAGTTCAGTAATGTTAGAACTCTCATTGTTAGGACGTGATCAAGACATGTGGCACATATCTTGAATCATTGAAGTGCTGAGGCCAGAGTGAAGGTTATTATTTCTTGGTAGCTTACTTTTGGTAAGATAATAACTAATTCTTTACCATGACTGGTTGCCATAATTATTTAATCTTGTCTGTTAACGTAATAGTTGTGGTGGACGATGATGATTTCTTGGTGCAGTCCTGCTCAAGTCCTGCAGTATTTTCACTTATTTCTCTCCATGTTTTATAAACTATTTTTTCTGTAATTAATATTTGTTCCTCGCACCGCATAATTATAGCGGTTGAACATGCGCCGCGGATTTGTTAGTCATTCCTTACTTCTAAGATATACAAACTGTTTATACAAACATATGTTTGTATAAACAGTATATATTCTATCCATAGTCAGGATTATCCAGGACCCCCAAGTTCTATAACCCCCACAACAGTCGCCTCCTAGGATTCTATTTACTGCTAGGTGAACAGCGGCACCAGGTGTAAAGAAACTTCCCCGAAGTTTCCTTGCAACAGTTGCAGGGAAAATGCAAGAACTGCAAGGACCCCAAGTTCGTGTTCGAACTTGGGGTCCAATCAGTTACGAGTCGATTGCACTGCGCCAAAAGGTCAGTCTATTTGAATTCTGAATTCTGTTCATGCTGAGCAGGTTAGCAAGCGAGTCGCGACTTTAAGGCTTGTGATACTCGGTATAAATGTTTCACTCTCTATATGCGTTACTTCCCATTTGTTTTGTTAACTCTGGAAAGGGTTTGAGCAAGTTTGAGAAACTGAGTTTCACGTCCAATCGCCTGTGTAAGTATTGCGCAGCTTAAGGGTTTTAAACATGCGCTGTTTTTATGTTTTTTTAGTACATTGAGGTACATGTGCATTTATGCAGCTGCACTAGACTATAAGAAGGGCTACCATAGCGTGTCAAGAGGACAGGATGGTTGGTCCCGCGGGGCCTCGTCATCAGTGGCCTCCACCCGCAGACTTTGAATACATTATACGGGTTAAGTCTTAACAATCTAACTATGTCATCCATCACACGTGAAGGGTCTCTTTATCGTGCTGGTTGTTCACCGTGGGTAGTAGTGGCTTGTTGCCCCCGGCCCACTCTGGCACAACCCACCTGCTCGAACCTAACATGTCCTTGCAGAACCTAGTTGATCGGGCTTAACCTATCCTTGCAAAACCCAACTGATCGCACTTACCCCTATGAGATTTAAAGCCTCGCACATGAGGATAAACGGAGTGGGCGCGTTCGTTGACCGATGAGCCCGGATCCTAATTGGCTTCATGACCGGAAACAAAGTTCTTCGTCAATTACTAATTTGAATGCAAATACGACTTAGTGACGAATGAGCGTAGCCGTTAGTGTGTGTGTGTGTGTGTACATAGCTAGATGTATTTCCAGGGTCGAGTTAGTTTTCCTAGCCCCGCCTTCCGAACGTGCTTGGATTAATGCAATGATCCATTTCTCACGCTTTTATCATATTTACATTTACAATTTTGAATCGAACTTAGCTTCAACGGCTTCTGCATCTATCCTGTTCCAATTATTAACAGCTCGTCCCATTGTCAAATCACTCAAAGCTCTCGGGTATTGGAGTTTAAGATCAGACGACTTTCCAATACTTTTGTACAGTCTGTTAGCAGAGTGGTTATAGTACTGGACACGGCAACAGTTATGAAGGCCCTGGCTGACCGGGTTCGAATCTTTAAGGGGTAAAGCATTTTCTGATGCACATATATACCACAAGGTCTCCTCTGAATACTTTTTATTTTCTTCTCCGAGGCTATGGGTCCCCACATTGGCACCAGAGGTGGTACCCTCACAAACTTTCTTTATATATATATATATGACTGAAAACTCACACCCCAGAAGTGTGAGTCGCATATAGTCCTGGGGACCATTCAGGCTTGTTCGCATATATATATATATATATATATATATATATATATATATATATATATATATATATATATATATATATATATATGTCGTACCTAGTAGCCAGAACGCACTTCTCAGCCTACTATGCAAGGCCCGATTTGACTAATAAGCCAAGTTTTCATGAAATAATGTTCTTTCGACAACCTAACCTACCTAACCTAACCTAACCTCTAGAGATAGGTTAGGTTAGGTAGGGTTGGTTAGGTTCGGTCATATATCTACGTTAATTTTAACTTCAATTAAAAAAAATTGACCTCATACATTATGAAATGGGTAGCTTTATCATTTCATAAAAAATTAGAGAAAATATATTAATTTAGTAAAACTTGGCTTATTAGGCAAATCGCACCTTGAATAGTAGGCTGAGAAATGCCTGGCTACTAGGTACGACATATATATATATATATATATATATATATATATATGTCGTACCTAGTAGCCAGAACGCATTTTCACTAATTCAAGGTGCGATTTGCCTAATAAGCCAAGTTTTACTATAATATTTTTCTCTAATTTTTTATGAAATGATAAAGCTACCCATTTCATAATGTATGAGGTCAATTTTTTTTAATTGAAGTTAAAATTAACGTAGATATATGACCGAACCTAACCAACCCTACCTAACCTAACCTATCTCTAGAGGTTAGGTTAGGTTAGGTAGGTTAGGTTGTCGAAAGAACATTATTTCATGAAAACTTGGCTTATTAGTCAAATCGGGCCTTGCATAGTAGGCTGAGAAGTGCGTTCTGGCTACTAGGTACGACATATATATATATATATATATATATATAATATACCGTAATCTCCGGCCTAGCCGTAGATCCTGCCTGTTCCTTTACCGCTTACTCATCAACGTAGCTGCATGCTCCAACATAAAGATTCAACATCAAAGACAACAACAATATGAGCTCAAACATATGGGTGTCTAGACACACCTCCTCCTCCCCCCCCCCCCCACCCCCTATACCCTCCAGTACCCGTGACACCTTCACCTGTTGCCTTGGCGGGGGACTAGACGCCACCAGCTAATGATCGTTTAACTCCCGGCTGATTGTTAAACTCCAGAATTCGCGCCAACTATGACGTCATGACCCATATATAAGGGCTCGCCAGCATCCAGCTCAACACGGGAGACATCTCCCGTCACGCAGGGTGCAGTCGCACCTCCACAGATCTCCAGTATCATCTATTGATACTGGTAATGGCTCAAAAGGGCCACCACTTACGGGCTATTCATGCCCGTGCCACCTTTTGGGTGGCTTAATCTTTATCAATCAATCCAGCTCAACACGGGAGACATCTCCCGTCACGCAGGGTGCAGTCGCACCTCCACTCATCTCCAGTATCAGCTCTTGATACTGGTAATGGCTCAAAAGGGCCACCACTTACGGGCTATTCATGCCCGTGCCACCTTTTGGGTGGCTTAATCTTTATCAATCAATCCAGCTCAACACGGGAGACATCTCCCGTCACGCAGGGTGCAGTCGCACCTCCACTCATCTCCAGTATCAGCTCTTGATACTGGTAATGGCTCAAAAGGGCCACCACTTACGGGCTATTCATGCCCGTGTCACCTTTTGGGTGGCTTAATCTTCATCAATCAATCAATCCAGCTCAACAGACTACCCTTGGAGTGCTCTCAGCTGTAACATGTACTCTTGCTCCCGGGTGACGGTAGACGCGCACAGCATTTTGTATAAAGTATTACCTACACCTTTGTTATTAACGTAATTTCACAGGTATATATAATTCTTTTAACTGTGTATAAGCCAAGTGGATAAGCGGTTTTGTTTTTATTAATTGTTACTTGTCATTTTGTGTAAAATTAATATTTTTTTATTATTATAACTGAAGTTTTTATTCTCTTTAGTTTTTACCCACAGCTCTCACACAGAGGACCCAAGCAGTCTTGTTTACATTTTTTTCTTGTTTTTTTTTTTATTAATGTGCGATGGGCACAACACCTGCCCGAGTAGCCACTGCTCTCTTCCAGATTCTTGTCACAATATATATATATATATATATATATATATATATATATATATATATATATATATATATATATATATATATATATATATATATTACACTATGTATATATTTGCAGTCAAAAATTATTTAATAACTGAAATATGAGTATAAAATATAAAATATATATATAACTAAAAGTATATATAAGTAATACTATTATAGATAATATATATAATATGTATAAAATATATAATATAATATTTAAGAAATATATGTATAGAATATATAGCTTGCCGCGAGAGTTGCAGTAATGATAATAGGATGAGATAGTAAGGAGTAACTACTTGGCGGAGCGGAGGGTGGAGAGCTGAGAGCGGTGCCGCGGCCGTGGCTCCAGGCAGTCCACCCTCAGTAGAGGCAACGCTCTTGTGGAGTACAGACGCTCTTCGGCCGCTCGGGTGTAGGCGTGGTATTTTTTTGCGAGTGTGTGTGCGTGTGTGTTCGCTCGCGCGCGCGTGTGAGTGTGTATATATCTCTCTACGGGAAATGTCAGTGCACTCGGGACTGGTGACAGTGGCTGGTGAGTACTGCAAACTCAAGGATTCTGTACCGTTTGGGCAAACTTATTGGTATTTCTCCTCGGGAAGGAGGACATGTGAGATCTTGGGTTTGAGAAACGTGTTCGAATTATATTTTAAATGTCGGCATCTTGCGTGTGAGTGTTGGGGGAGGCTCACGTGCCGTTACTGAGGGAGGTTGAGTGTGCCTGGACGGCATCAGTATGACGGCGCAGGACTGGTGGCAGCATGCAGCATGCCTGCGCTGCAACCAGATATTAAACGCTAAAATTAAAGGCCATCAACGACGGGGCACAGGGGGGAACGCCCAGGGTCACCCTTGCATACTTGCTCCAGGGGGCACCCTGCCACACTGTATACTTGCTCCAGGGGGGCACCCTGCCACACTGTATACTTGCTCCAGGGGGCACCCTGCCACACTGTATACTTGCTCCAGGGGGCACCCTGCCACACTGTATACTTGCTCCAGGGGGCACCCTGCCACACTGTATACTTGCTCCAGGGGGCACCCTGCCACACTGTATACTTGCTCCAGGGGGCACCCTGCCACACTGTATACTTGCTCCAGGGGGCACCCTGCCACACTGTATACTTGCTCCAGGGGGCACCCTGCCACACTGTATACTTGCTCCAGGGGGCACCCTGCCACACTGTATACTTGCTCCAGGGGGCACCCTGCCACACTGTATACTTGCTCCAGGGGGCACCCTGCCACACTGTATACTTGCTCCAGGGGGCACCCTGCCACACTGTATACTTGCTCCAGGGGGCACCCTGCCACACTGTATACTTGCTCCAGGGGGCACCCTGCCACACTGTATACTTGCTCCAGGGGGCACCCTGCCACACTGTATACTTGCTCCAGGGGGCACCCTGCCACACTGTATACTTGCTCCAGGGGGCACCCTGCCACACTGTATACTTGCTCCAGGGGGCACCCTGCCACACTGTATACTTGCTCCAGGGGGCACCCTGCCACACTGTATACTTGCTCCAGGGGGGCACCCTGCCACACTGTATACTTGCTCCAGGGGGCACCCTGCCACACTGTATACTTGCTCCAGGGGGCACCCTGCCACACTGTATACTTGCTCCAGGGGGCACCCTGCCACACTGTATACTTGCTCCAGGGGGCACCCTGCCACACTGTATACTTGCTCCAGGGGGGCACCCTGCCACACTGTATACTTGCTCCAGGGGGCACCCTGCCACACTGTATACTTGCTCCAGGGGGCACCCTGCCACACTGTATACTTGCTCCAGGGGGGCACCCTGCCACACTGAATACTTGCTCCAGGGGGCACCCTGCCACACTGTATACTTGCTCCAGGGGGGCACCCTGATACACTGTATACTTGCTCCAGGGGGCACCCTGATACACTGTATACTTGCTCCAGGGGGGCACCCTGATACACTGTATACTTGCTCTAGGGGGCACCCTGCATACTTGCTCCAGGGGGCACCCTGATACACTGTATACTCCAGGGGGGCACCCTGATACACTGCATACTTGCTCCAGGGGACACCCTGCATACTTGCTCCAGGGGACACCCTGCCACACTGTATACTTGCTCCAGGGGGGCACCCTGCATACTTGCTCCAGGGGACACCCTGCATACTTGCTCCAGGGGACACCCTGCCACACTGTATACTTGCTCCAGGGGGCACCCTGCATACTTGCTCCAGGGGGCACCCTGCATACTTGCTCCAGGGGGCACCCTGCATACTTGCTCCAGGGGGCACCCTGCATACTTGCTCCAGGGGGCACCCTGCATACTTGCTCCAAGGGGCACCCTGCATACTTGCTCCAGGGGGCACCCTGCCACACTGTATACTTGTTCCAGGGGGCACCCTGCCACACTGTATACTTGCTCCAGGGGACACCCTGTCACACTGTATACTTGCTCTAGGGGGGCACCCTGCATACTTGCTCCAGGGGGGCACCCTGCATACTTGCTCCAGGGGGCACCCTGCATACTTGCTCCAGGGGACACCCTGCATACTTGCTCCAGGGGGCACCCTGCATACTTGCTCCAGGGGGCACCCTGCCACACTGTATACTTGCTCCAGGGGGCACCCTGCCACACTGTATACTTGCTCCAGGGGGCACCCTGCCACGCTGTATACTTGCTCCAGGGAGCACTCTGCCACACTGTATACTTGCTCCAGGGAGCACCCTGCCACACTGTATACTTGCTCCAGGGAGCACACTGTATACTTGCTCCAGGGGGCACCCTGCTACAATGTATACTTGCTCCAGGGGGCACCCTGCCACACTGTATACTTGTTCCAGGGGGGCACCCTGTCACACTGTATACTTGCTCCAGGGGGCACCCTGCCACACTGTATACTTGCTCCAGGGGGCACCCTGCCACACTGTATACTTGCTCCAGGGGGCACCCTGCCACACTGTATACTTGCTCCAGGGGGCACCCTGCATACTTGCTCCAGGGGACACCCTGCCACACTATACTTGCTCCAGGGGGCACCCTGCCACACTGTATACCTGCTCCAGGGGGGGCACCCTGCATACTTGCTCTAGTGGGCACCCTGCATACTTGCTCCAGTGGGCACCCTGCATACTTGCTCCAGGGGGCACCCTGCCACACTGTATACTTGCTCCAGGGGGCACCCTGCCACACTGTATACTTGCTCCAGGGAGCACCCTGCATACTTGCTCCAGGGGGCACCCTGTCACACTGTATACTTGCTCCAGGGGGCACCCTGCCACACTGTATACTTGCTCCAGGGGGCACCCTGCCACACTGTATACTTGCTCCAGGGGGGCACCCTGCCACCCTGCATACTTGCTCCAGGGGGCACCCTGTCACACTGTATACTTGCTCCAGGGGGACACCCTGCCACACTCTATACTTGCTCCAGGGGGCACCCTGCCACACTGTATACTTGCTCCAGTTGGCACCCTACCACACTGTATACTTGCTCCAGGGGGCACACAGTATACTTGCTCCAGGGGGCACACTGTATACTTGCTCCAGGGGGCACACAGTATACTTGCTCCAGGGGGCACACTGTATACTTGCTCCAGGGGGCACACTGTATACTTGCTCCAGGGGGCACCCTGCATACTTGCTCCAGGGGGCACCCTGAATACTTGCTCCAGGGGGCACCCTGAATACTTGCTCCAGGGGGCACCCTGCATACTTGCTCCTGGGGGCACCCTGCCACACTGCATACTTGCTCCAGGGGGCACCCTGCCACACTATACTTGCTCCAGGGGGCACCCTGCCACACTGTATACTTGCTCCAGGGGGGGCACCCTGCCACACTGCATACTTGCTCCAGGGGGCACCCTGCCACACTGTATACTTGCTCCAGGGGGGCACCCTGCCACACTGCATACCTGCTCTAGGGGACACCCTGCCACACTGTATACTTGCTCCATTGGGCACCCTGCCACACTGTATACTTGCTCCAGGGGGACACTGCCACACTGTATACTTGCTCCAGGGGGCACCCTGCGTACTTGCTCCAGGGGGCACCCTGCATACCTGCTTGATGGGGTTCTGGGAGTTCTTCTTCTCCCCAAGCCCGGCCTGACCTGTGAGAGTTTGGTCCACCAGGCTGTTGCTTGAAGCGGCCCGCAGGCCTACTTACCTACCACGACCCGGTTGGTCCGGCACGTTTTTTAGAAAAAAAGTTTAGTTCTCTCTTGAAGATGTCCACGGTAGCAGTGCCACACTAGTATGTACCCCAACTACAGTGCCACACTACCATGGACCACAATAGCAGTGCCACACTAGCATGTACCCCAACTACAGTGCCTCACTAGTATGGACCACAGTAGCAGTGCCACACTAGTATGGACCACAGTAGCAGTGCCACACTAGTATGGACCACAGTAGCAGTGCCACATTAGTTTGGACCACAGTAGCAGTGCCACACTAGTTTGGACCACAGTAGCAGTGTCACACTAGCATGACCACAGTTGCAGTGCCACACTATCATGGACCACAGTAGCAGTGCCACACTAGCAAGGACCACAGTAGCAGTGCCACACTAGCAAGGACCACAGTAGCAGTGCCACACTAGGAAGGACCACAGTTGCAGTGCCACACTAACATGGACCACAGTAGCAGTGCCACACTAGCAAGGACCACAGTAGCAGTGCCACACTGGCATGGACCACAGTAGCAGTGCCACACTAGCATGGACCACAGTTGCAGTGCCACACTGGCATGGACCACAGTAGCAGTGCCACACTAGCATGGGCCACAGTTGCAGTGCCACACTAGTTTGGACCACAGTAGCAGTGCCACACTAGCATGGACCACAGTTGCAGTGCCACACTATCCTGGACCACAGTAGCAGTGCCACACTAGCATGAACCACAGTTGCAGTGCCACACTAACATGGACCACAGTAGCAGTGCCACACTATCATGGACCACAGTAGCAGTGCCACACTATCATGGACCACAGTAGCAGTGCCACACTAGCATGGACCACAGTAGCAGTGCCACACTAACATGGACGCAGTAGCAGTGCCACAGTAGCAGTGCCACACTAGCATGGACCACAGTAGCTGTGCCACACTAGCATGGACCACAGTAGCAGTGCCACACTAACATGGACCACAGTAGCAGTGCCACACTAACATGGACCACAGTAGCAGTGCCACACTAACATGGACCACAGTAGCAGTGCCACACTAGCATGGACCACAGTAGCAGTGCCACACTAGCATGGACCACAGTAGCAGTGCCACACTAGCATGGACCACAGTAGCAGTGCCACACTAGCATGGACCACAGTAGCAGTGCCACACTAGCGTGGACCACAGTAGCAGTGCCACACTAGCATGGACCACAGTAGCAGTGCCACACTAGCATGGACCACAGTAGCAGTGCCACACTAACATGGACCACAGTAGCAGTGCCACACTAGCATGGACCACAGTAACAGTGCCACACTAGCATGGACCACAGAAGCAGTGCCACACTAGCACGGACCACAGTAGCAGTGCCACACTAGCATGGACC